GTGGCAGTCTATTCCAGACCTTGGGGGCTCGGACAGTAAAGAAGTTCTTCCTTATGTCCAGACTAAATCGGTCGTGGAGAAGTTTGTGACCGTTTGATCTTGTCATCCCTTGGGGCGCTCTGGTGAACAGATGTTCTCCCAGATCCTGGTGAGCACCCCGATAAACTTATAGGTGGCCACCACATCCCCCCGAGCCTGCGCTTTTCCAGGCTGAAGAGCCCCATGTCTCTCAGCCTCTCATCATAAGGTCTGTTTTCCTGACCTCTGATCATGCACGTGGCTCTTTTCTGGACTCTCTCAAGCTTCTCCACATCCTTTTTGAATTGTGGAGCCCAAAACTGGACGCAGTACTCCAGCTGCGGCCTCACCAAGGCCGAGTACAAGGGGAGAATAACGTCCCGGGATTTGCTTGAGAAGCATCTAGGGATGCAAGCCAGTGTTCTGTTTGCTTTCTTAGCCGCAGCATCGCATTGCAGGCTCCTGTTCATCTTGTGGTCAATCATGACCCCCAAGTCCCTTTCATCTGTAATGAAAGGGACTATAGCCAGCATAGCACTGCCGAGCCTATAAGCATGCTGCAGGTTTTTCCTCCCAAGGTGGAGAACCTTGCATTTTTCGGTGTTGAACACCATCAGGTTCTCGTCCACCCATTTCATGATCCTGTCAAGATCAACCTGGATCACTCTCCTGTCTTCAGGTGTGGATGCTTTACCCCAGTTTGGTGTCGTTGGCGAACTTGGCCAGTCCGCTTCTGCAAGATAACTGCAAAGGCAAAGAGCTTCCAGCAAGAACCAACCATCTTCTAATGGCAACTTTTGAAATATTAATTTCAATATGGGAGCAAACTTGATTTAAAGAAAAAAAGAAAACCAAATCCTAGGTATTTTGTTTGGGGTATTTCGCAACATCTCCTTTAGTTGAACAGTGACCTCAGAAATACCATGCTCTTCCACTTGGCCCCCAATCCTACACCCACATGCAGCTGCTGAGGGAGACACCCTCTACCTTAAGTGCCAGGGTAGGGCGTGTGAAGAGCTCCATTTGCAAGTCATGTCTGGCCCTGGCAGGGTGCTGGTTGGGTACTGTTCTAATTTCAGCAGTGCTGAGCACACCCAATATTTGCAAGTGAAGTCAATGGAAGCTGCAGAAGCTCAGGACCTTTGAAAATCAGACTTGGCATTCTCTTTCCTTGTAATTGTTTTCTTGCCTGACAGCAGTGAAAAGACCGTGTGGAAGACCTTGGTGTCTGAAGGAACCACTGAGCCGGGTGCTTTAACTCCTGAGAAGCTGCTGCCACTGGACGCCTGCCACCCACTGAGAGCAGAGGACAGTCCGAAGGCGGGATGCAGAGGGTTAAGGAAAGTGACACAGAGGATGTGATGGAAAAGTGGCAGCAGCCTCCCTCCAGGTGTCCATTGCACAAAGTTTCCAGCCAGACAGTTGGCTCTGGTTCATCCCTTTCCCCATGGCTTGGGCATCAGTCTTCCCAAGCTTTCTCTGGAAACCCAGAGTAATGAACACCTGCTAATACCTCGCTCCCTCGTTGACCTCAATACCAGTTGGACAGTTCAACGCAAAGGGGTCTGGGAAGTCTGACGGCAACTCATATGTGTTTACTCCGAATGGGGACTTGCATAAACGGGTAAAACCGAGGGCACCTGTGTTCTTTAATCGGAGCAAGCCACTGCTTTCTGATACACTCTTAACTCTCCACAAGCATGGAAAGAATTAGGAAAAAGACTGTCAGATGACTGGGGCCAGAAAGAGAAGTCAAGCTAAGGGGCTAATGGCCACTAAAAGAATCTCAGTAACTGGGAAAGTAGGGACACAACACGATGCAGCTTTGTGTCGAGCAGATGCTGAAGTCAGAACTTGTTCAAAGAGGGACTAGCTGAGAGACAAGACCCTTAAGGAGGAAGCTGTATGTCCAGGCAAGATGGAAAGATTACAGTGAGGCTGCTCATGGCAGGAGGTGATGCACAGCATTAAGCATCAAGCCTGAGACAAAGAGCTGTGCCAAGGAAGGCATCATTGTGCACAACAACAAGGTTCATTTATCCTGCAGAACCCAAAAGCTCTGCTGCTTATCCCCATATTACTGCCTGAGCTACTAACTAGTGACCTATATACAGCTCTGGAGCACTCTTGTGATAGTGGGATTGTATGATATGTAGAGAAAAAGCGGGTGCTACAGGAACTGAAGGAGTCCAGAGGAGACTGTAGTTCAGTATCCAAGCTAGTAGAGCTGTGCCTCTACTGTAGAGATGATCAGATTGCATTTTGAAGTGTGATCCTTGTTAATTATCAAAGTTCCTACCCTGGGAAAGCCCAGGTCCAGTCTGCTTACCATATCTGAACCTCCTGGCCTTCATTTGTTACTCTGAAGGTCTCTGTTACCTCCTTTCAGGTCTCAGGTGTCCACAAGTCCATACAACCAGCACTTGGCTTCCTCCTCTGGTACGGCCCTTGCCTACTTGGGCTGAGGAGACCTACACGTGGGCATCTGGAGGAAACGGGGGGAGAAATGACTGGACCCCAGGTACACGTGAAGGTGGCCTGGATACTGGGGGCTGTGGCTTGTGCTCATTGCTCCAATGGTCGTCGACTTGTCACTTGTTTTTTTGCTGCTGGGGAATGGATTTAAGGGTCCAATTGAAACTGGAACCAAGAGGACTCAGGAATCTCTCTTCTCCCCCCACTCTCAGTGATTTGTCACTATATCACTGTTTGGCTACAATGAAATAAAAATCACCCACAGCTTCATGGGTTCCCCAGAGCAGACCCCACTTCTAAAAGGACTCTGAACCCTGTAGCAAGCCCACGGCACCAAGGTTGATGGGAGACTATGGGAAGTTATACAGGAGCCTCCATTCAGCTCCCACTGCAGCTGTGCTGGGGCTTTCCTCATCATTATCCACGTAAATCAAGGAGAGTCGATCCAGCTTCCTCCTGCCTGGGTTAACACCTTCCACCTCATGCTGTGTTGCCTCTTATCCAGCTATCTCTGAGGCTGTGATGAGCAACCCTGGCTCAGAAGCCATCTCACCAGCACCTGAGCCAGATGGTGGCTTGCACGCCCAGCATCTGTAATGCAGGGCAGTGTGGCCTACCTAAAGCCATTGCTGGTGGCTGCCGACTAAACCACAGAGAGCCGGCTTTGACTAATCTCTGCATGCTTTCCCCGCCCCCGCTCTGGCAGTCCCTGGTGTTCACAATTGATGATCTGGATCATTTGCATTCTCTTCATTTGAAAATTATTGTTGCTGGATTTGTTATGAGCCCACCGAGATCACCGTGGTGATGCACTTGCCCAATGATGTCACCACCCTTTCTGTGGCTTCCAAGGCATTTTTGAGTCATGCTGCTGCCACACAAACGAGCCATTTCTCTTAAGACTAAAAGTGCTCTCCCCTCCCACAGCAACAGACCCAGGACCTGGGAGGGAAGAGATGCATGCACACCCCATTAGAGCTGGGAATGATGGAGCATGAAGCCATGGTCCCCTCCTGATCACTTTGGGTGTGCAGCACTGGTCCAAACTGATTAGCTTTTCTCCTTCTTATAATTTAACCTGTGTTTCCTCCTCCTACACCTGAGAGAGACTCCAATAAAATGTTCACCAAACCTAGCTAAATTAAAACCCGTGCTACATGTTAGGGATGGAAGAACTTTGCACCCCCACACCCTCAGCACCTCAACCTGGCACAGATGGACACCTACCAAGACTAAAGAGATGTCATCGTTTCCCCGCTCTTTTCAACCCATTTCTCTGCACTTGTTTCTCTCTCCACCTGATTGTCGCCCTCCTTCTCTTGGTTGGAGAGAAGGTGCTCCATTGTGGCAGGTGGGATGAGAATACAGTAGGGGAGTCACCTGGAATTAGGAGGTGAAAATGGAGCTGAGAGGAGGTTGGGATGGAAAAGCAACACAGAGAGCATGTGAGAACTTCAGGGGTGCTTCAATTTTCACATTCTCTCTGTGTTGCTTTTCCATCCCAGCCTCCTCTCAGCTCCATTTTCACCTTCTAATTCCAGGTGACTCCCCTACCGTATCCTCATCCTCTATGCCACAGTGGAGCACCTTTTCTCCAACCCTTTCCCAGTCTTCACCCAAGTCAAGTGCAAAGCATCCAGCTTTCCAACCAATGCAACAATGACAGGAGACGGTCATCAGTCAGGAACAAGTTCACCCATCTCTAGCTTAGACCTCAGCTTCATGCAAGAGAAGCATTTTGGAGCTAAACGGAGATATAGGCTGAAGGGTACCTGGCAGCCAGAACATGATCCCCACAGTCAAACTCCAAAGAGTTAAATTTGCTCTGGGATGCTGGAACAATGAACGGCATTACCGCTGTCTCTGTGTTACATAGCAGCTCAGTCCTTCTTCTAAGATTCCAGCTGTGCTGGTGGAATCACATCATCCATGAAGTAAACATTGCATCAAATGCAGAACAGACCAAACCCAGTCTGTAGTCATTCCTTGCTGGGTGGAAATAGTCCTAGCAGCTCCATGGTTTTGCAGCTGCCAGTTGGAACCTCCACCTCTTTGCAGAATCAACCAACCAGTGCGCATGCGTAGTTTTTTCCACCAATCTAACCAACAGCAGTTGTTTAATTTAAGAAGATTAGGCTTTTTACTTGCCTGCTTAATTAACACAGAGAAGGGGGTGGGCCGTGTCAGAACTGAAACTGAGAAAAGCCAGGAAATTTAGACTTCAGGCTGCAAGGCTGTCCTGACTGGCAGCGTATCAAAGCCGTGTTATGGCAAGCTTCACGGTTCTCACTGATTTTTTACATCCTGCCTGCCTAGAACTTGCAGGCAACAGCAAGGCTCTGACATAGATCCTCCTGTTCCAAAAGCTACAGTGCCCTGCAAGTTGAGCTAAAGAAAAATCTCTGTTAACTGCTACTGGTCCAGGCCTTGCAACACATACAGGAGTCAACAGCTCAGACTCCTATTGTGTGTCAGAGAACTGGTGGCTACTGGCTAGTTCTTGGCTGATACTCTGGTTTCTCTTCATTGTATATAAGTCTTCTGTCAGGAGGAGGCCTGCCCATTGCACTCTGGATAGGCTGACTGACCCCTGCGAGTTTCCCAAATGTGGGAAATGTCACTACACAATTTTGTGGTAATGGGGAACTACATTTGCACTTTCCCCCTGGCTTGCTCCTTTGGCCTTTTGGCTAGGAGCAAATGTGACTAGGGGCATCTGAACTCCAACACCTTTGGGCTTGGGGTTTGCATATAGGATGCCTGCCATGGATTTGGGGAGTATCCAAAGTCCCAGATGGATGGAGCTGGGAGGGAGGAGACTTGCCCAGTGGCAGAGCCATGCGGAGTTGAATGATTGAGATTGACTCAGTCAATTTGGAATTCAGAACTAGTTCAGGCTTAAGCCAAAAAAAAGCCAGTTCTTGGCTGAGGACTAGCTTAGATAATAACCACACTTGAAACTCTAATCCCTCTCCTGGCCCAGATCATTCTCAGTGGCCATGTCTACGCAAGCAGCGGACTGTGCAGTTGTTATTAGGCAGTCATTTAGTACTTGCATAACCCAGTACTAAATGACTGTGCAGCAACCAGCATTACTGCGCAGTACTGTCCCTGCATGGGTTTTTTTCTGCTGCTACTGTGCAGTAGCAATGAACTACTGCACAGTAGCTCATCACTACTGTGCAGTTGCTTTGTGTCACGGTTAGTGCCCCCAACGCTACAGCACAGTAGCAACGAGCTACTGCACAGTAACTCGTTGCTGTTGTTCAGTAGTGTCTCGTGTAGTCATGCCCAGTGATAGTACTACTGTCTTACTGGCTCTGCTATTGGATTACCATATATTCTCTCCAGAATCTTTCAGCTCCATTAGCATCAGCTTCTCTACCCCTTCACATAATCTCACTGTTAGAAGAGTGCCCTAGATCTACATATATGAAATAGTTAATGGCTACAGTGCCAGTTTATGGCGCTTAGGAATATGTAGCATATTTCCCAGGTTCTGCAGGACCAATAAAATTTGTTCTCAGCAAAGGACTTCCAGTGCATTGCATTAACCTCATACCCTCCCCCCCCCATGACACCTTAAGTGAGAAGATAAGGGTTACAAGGTTCCTTGGGTGAATTTGATATCTTTTATTAGACCAACCCAAATAGTTGGAGAATATTTATTAAGCAAGCTTTCGGGTTCAAAAACCCTTCGTCAGGCTAAGATAAGGGTTATGCACCTCTAGGGTAGAATGCAACAACTCCATGCAATGTTTATGATCACCAAGGAAGGAACTAACCCTGTGTACTATGCTGAACAGACTTGATCAAATTAAAGTTCCCTGTGCTATATTTGTATGAATTGGGTGTTTTACTAGAATTCCAGAGCTAGTCCCACTATACTGAAGTACCCTGATCTGTGCTATTTAGATTATGACACAAAAGCTGAATTCACTGCCCCACTTACATTTCCTTTTACTAGCACACTCAGAGCAGTTCAGTCCCACGTGACTGCGTTGGACTAGTATTATCTTACACATAATCCATCTATGTAGCCAGGCATTTTAGAAGTGCTGCTGTTCACGTAGCTCCTCAGACAAAACAGAACAGATCATACATCTGTTATCTACCTCTCTTCTACAAGCTGCAACCTCCCATTTAATAGGGAGCCTCCTCTCAAAGAGGTGGAGTTACAGGACCTATGTCTGTTTTGAAACAGCCATTCCACTTTATACTCCGTTGCCCGGATTCTCACAGTGTGAAGCGCAGAGATCTTTGGGAGGTTTCATTTGGAGCATACATGTTTTATTGGAGTGAAGAGAAGGGTACTGGGTAATTTGCTGGGTTCTGGGTAATTTGGTTACCCCGAGGTGAAAAGTGACACTGCTCACTTGTTTTCCGACCCCTGTCTGCTGTACAGACACTGACCACGGCCTTGTGATAAGAGAGTCATTGCCGGTGAGATTATAAATAGACGGCAGACTGGGGTCATTGAGTCTGTATCTTACTCAGAGTGAATGTGTCAGCCAAAGTTCTTCAGTCAGGAAACTACACTTCCCACCCTTTGTCTGTCTCGCTATCTCCTCCCTTCCTAGAGGTGTCTGTACAATGGGTATTAACGCTTTCTCTCTGAGTTCTCTTTCTTTCAGTTTCCTGTTGCCATTCTCTTCTCCAGCTGGGAGAGACGGACACATAACAATTAACCGTGCCCCCAACATCCCTTCCCAGTGGGACCCATTTGCATCCTGCTACTGTGGGCTGGGGACTTCATGCTGAGCAGACTAGAAAGGTGGATTATCAACACTTGTAATTTACTGGGTTTGGATTGAGAGGTAGGATTTATACAGAACGATCCTGGAAAAGATCCCTGTCCTAGCTCCAGGCTGGGACTTGAGAACAGCCACAGAGTAAATTGTTCTCAGAGAAGCCACTGCCTCAGGTTTTACATGAGAACCAGCACGTCCCTGAGAATGGCATAGGGAACTACCTTTAACAGGTTCTTGCAAAAGATGAGGCAAGATGTTTTGGGTATGTTTAGGGTGCGCATGGTTGGTAAAGGGCATAGTGCCCTTTTACCGTAATTTTGAATTTTAGAGAGAGGAGAATTGCGCAGCATTTGGAACAGATGACTGGGAGTCATGGTCCCTGGATACCTACTGCACATCTCTGCCACCAGGTTTCAGGGTGCTGGTTGTAGCTGTGTTGGTCAAAGGACATAGGCAGACAAGGTTCTTTGGGTAAATGTGATCTCTTTTATTGGACCAACTAAATAGTTGGAAAAATTGTTCTTTCATAGATTGCATAGACCTTAGGGCTGGAAGGGACCTTGGAAGATCATCAAGTCCAGCCCCCAAAGCTTTGCAAGCTTTCAGGCACAAATACCTTTCTTCAGATATAGGGAGAGTCTGTTGGTGTTTTGCATGCTCTCCAGGGCGGAATAGAAGTCCAAATGCAGGTCGGCAAAGATGCAAATGCGTGGTAATGAGGATCAGAAGGAAGGGGAGACAGTAGGTGTGAGACAGGTAGGTGGGGGGGGGGGATACATTCTTCCCTTTCCCCCACCCCACCTACCTGTCTCACACCTACTGTCTCCCATTCCCCCTGATCCTCACTGCCAAGCATTTGCATTTTCACAGACCTGCACTTTGCATTTGGGCTTCTATTCCACCCAGGAGAGCACGCAAAACACCAATGGACTGTCCCCATGTCTGAAGAAAGGTGTTTGTGCCTGAAAGCTTGCAAAGAACAATTTTGCCACCAGGCTACATTCCACGGCCACGTGGAATTCAAAGCCCTGCTAGGAACAGTACACCAATCCACCCCCTCCACATGGGCAAGCCTCCACTGCCTGAGCTAAATGTAGCTCTAGCTGTTACAGGGGTGTAGGTCTGCTCTACCTGTTGGCACTATATGGACTATGATTCACTGGGAATGTTGGATTCTAGTCAGCAGAGGGCAATAGTGAATATGCTTAAAAACATCCATCTCTGTCACGCTGTGAAAAATTAAGTTGTTCTGATAAGTGTATTCACTTCAGGCCATTTTAAAGTAAGAGGGAGTAAAGCTTGCAGGGTAGGATGGGTAATGAAACTGTTCCAAAGAGCATGGCTTAGACCTAGAGAGAAATTTTGGATTATTATCCATTTTGGAGCTTGGCAAGGCTGGGGATGGTTTTGGCTTTCTTTTGAAGTATCTGAAGTCAGAGCCAGGGTACCAGGGTAGAAGAGTTACTGGTCCAAAGTTGATACGGCAATTCCTGTAATCCTAAATAATTCTCCACAATTTTAACCCATGCATCGAACCCTCATACTGACATGTGTCTATGTCCTTTGGGAATGATTTCCATAATAACTTGAGCTGACTTGTGACAATATTTGGTTTGTGAGCCTTTTCTTAAAAGAATCTGCAAACATCTGGCACACTTTCCTTTTATTCATCTAGGGTGAAATGGCTTCCTGTAGAAGGGGGACAGTACAAACATATATGCATCACGTAAAGGCCACACTCAAATAAATTGGCAGTGTCTTTTAGTGGGGAGAGCACCTGACTGGTATTTAGGAATCCTGGGCTTTATTTCTCGCTCAACTGAATGACCTTGGGCAAGTCACTTCATCTCCCTGTGCTCAGTTCTCTAACTGTCTGGGTTTCTTGGTAAGGTACTTTAAGTTTTACTGATGAAAAGCACTATAAAAGAGCCAGGTATTGTAGTTACTGCATTAGCCTTCTGTGTGGGTATGAATTGGAGCCCCAAGCTACAAGCTTTATTTATGAAGTTCTGTGTGTACAAGGTTTTGGTTCTTTCTAATAGCTCCTTCACTAAAACATTTTCCCCTAAAATACAGGCAAAACAAATGATAAAGCAATAAATAAATCACAGCTCCCTTAGTCAGGAAACAAAAAACCAGAGGCAGCAGCGACAACCAGAAGCCCCGACAGAATATTCTGGCTAGGGGGCATCTCGGATTGGCACCTTCCTGAGCATCTCATCAATGGTGCCATTGCTGTGCTAGCAGGAGAGCAACAAGGAAGCATTAAAAAAGAAACCTGCTTTAGATATGGAGAAGGAAAAGGGACAATTAAGAGTGGCCCCTCAACAAGTTCATGTCAGGAGCTGCCTGCCCTTTCTGAGTGCTGACTTTGTAAAGGAAGAGCAGTGGTTGGCTTAACCTTGCTGTCTGGCTTCTCTGGCACCACTAGGCATGTGGTTTCAAACCCTGTCTGCCTCCCAGTCCTACTGAACAACAACGCAAGCCAAGAAAAAAGCCCCAAATCTCCTTAAAGGAAGTTGAGGGCCAGATGTTCCTGGCTTCCTGTCCAGTGCTGCCACAACTGCCATTGCCTGTGGTTTTGGTTAGTTTGTATAGGCCTTGCATATAAGAGTCTGAAACGGCCTCCCCTGGAAACTCGCCCAGCTCTGTGACTGACCAGCTGCACTGATACCTGATGGGACACAGGCTTGCCAAAGCCATCAGGAAGTTTTGCTCCTTCTGCCCTCATTGCTTTTTATGATTTTTAGTGTTGACAGTTTTGGGGATCAAGCCACAGCACACGCTCAGCACAGCCAGGCCTTGTTACGTGGTCATTTTAGGTGGCTGCTGGAGCTCTTAACCCCTGGACTGGCTGCATGTTAACACCTTTATGTGGTTTAAAGCACTCATTATTCTGCTCAAAGTTACGCTA